TCAGTTAAACCAAACCCAACTGACGGACCCAGACAGACCCTCTAGGGCAGAGTGGAGCGGCAGCTGAGGGCAAACTTGGCAGGAGCAGACAGCCTCGTCTTTCTTCTTCCCGGCGGCATGTGGTTAGGAGCCCAATAGTTGACCCCCAGCAAAGACTGCCCCTTCAAGGGGCCCCCCACGGGCAGACAAGGCCATTGTCATCACTCCTATGCATTGAACTTTGTCCCCAAAGCACCAGTGTGGTAGAGTCTCACCTCTACGCCTGCCTGGCCAGCCCCGTTGGGAACCAGGTTTTCTTTGTTATATTAATGAGGGTTCATCAGTCAGGCTGCTTCGAAACCAATCACCTTCGCTTGCGATACAAAAACAGCAGATGAGGCACAGAAGCGAGCACAGCTGGGGGCAGCAGGTGCTGTGCTGGGGAGATGGCCCAGGAACTGGGAAACGGGAAAGCAGCCAGAGCCCCACCCCCACCCCCACCCCAGGCCTGACAGCAGGAAAGCCTTCCCCAAGAGCCTGCTCCCTGGCCTGGAGGCGGTGGGCCACAGGATTGCACCTGCCCACCATTACTGACCCGCCTTTACTGACCCGTTAATCCGTAGCTGAATCCTGGTCAAAAGGGGAAGGAACCTGGAACAGAGGTCAAATTTTCACATGACCCGGACTTCAGGCAGACCTACCTAGAGAGAGGAGGAACCCCCTCGCTATCGCTCTGAGAAAACCTTCCAGCCTCAGTCTGCAGTCCTCTTCAAACTAGACGGCTGTTTCGTTAAAGGATCAGCTATGGGAGGTTGGCCCGGAGCATGGTGCTCTTTGGAAGCTTTGAGCCGGAGAGAGGAGCTTGTCGGTGGGAAACTGGTGCACAGAGGAGAGGCTGGGGTTGGGGTGCGTGAGAACGAGGCTGTTCCTGTAGACACTGGCGATCGGGCCTGTGCCCTGTTGTTGGGTTCTGTTGAACTGGCTCTAGCACAGAGTGACTCCTTGGACAGCGGAAGGGAACACTGCCCGGCCCGGGCCATCCTCCCCACCAGTACCAGCAAAGAGCCCATTGGAGCCACTGCTTCAACCGTCTCCTGCAGGTTCTCTGCTGAGAATGATGTCCTTCCCCAGGGACGGGTCCCCCCAATCACACGTCCGCTGTGCTGTGAGAACATACATCCTGCTGTATGTATCTTTACCAACATCTTACAAGAAAGGTCTTTCTGGAGACCTGGTGGTAGAGGCTGCTTGGTGCATGGTGTGGTAGGGGCAGGCGGGCCCCTGGCTCTGACAGGCCTCACCGGCCCTCACCGTGGACCTGCACCGGGCCAGGGAAGGACATGACTTGGTGAGACTCCTGCTTCTACAAGAGAGTTTCAAGGTGGCCTGGTGTTTTCTCAGCTGGCACCCAGGCCTGGGGAATTGAGTGGACAGTACGTGAGTTTGGAGCGCCAGGCACTATCCTGTGACTGCCCTGTAGTCATTCTTTGTTTTTAAATTAAATTAAATTTTCTATGGTCATTCTTGGCCGTGGCAGCACTCCTCTGTCCTCGTGCCCACAGTCACAGCACCAGGAGCAACTCAAACTCATGACCTTGGCCTTCAGCGTGCCCTGAAGGATTTAGTTCAGCCCTACTAGTCTGGGGGTCTCTAGAAGTACAGTCTCGTTGATTTACCTTCTCCCGTAAGGAGTCAAGATAGTGCAATCTTCCAATCATGACAACTCTTCTTGGCATTGTCTACGCTTTTCCCGTGTGTGTGTGTGTGTGTGTGTGTGTGTGTGTATGTGTGTGTGTGTGTGTGTGTGTGTGTTAACTACTTTCACAAAGCAAAACACTGTGAATCCTTTCCTCTTGGACATTAAGAGGCACAGTGGACAGATAATCCTGCAGGTGCCTCAGAAGAGAGCCCCGGTACCTGCTTCTGCCGGGATGCAGCCTGGACCCAGCAGACAGGTCGCTAAGAGTAACAGCACCGCTAGGGAAGGACACCGTCCTTGGACTAAACCACTTTCCCAAAGAGGGCCTCCATCAGGGTTAGGAGAGGCAGGGCCACGGAGGCAGGGGCATGAGGAGGGCAGGGGCTGCGCAGGGTGGCATTGAGGGGGTGGCAGTGACGGAGATGAAGCAAAAGGTGGGTGGACTGTGGACCTGACTTGCTCTGTAAAGCACCCCCGATTCATAATAAGAAGTGAAATCACACAGCCAGACCCCCGCAGAGCAGGCCCACTCTGCACACGCAGGGCAGCCGGGAGTCCGACGGGGCTCCCCTGCACCCAGCAACAGCAGGCTGAGCCCCGAGCTCTTTCTCACCCCCCGGGGCGAGAGCTGCAGAGCTGGCCCGCTTGTCTCCTGAGAGTCACCCTGCCCGCCTGCGGCCCAGGTGGTTGTGTTAAATCGAGGCAGCAGAGCTTTGTACGCTCGTAAAGGTGTTTTAAGAAGCTGTCTGGTAGATAGAGGGGACTCTCGGCTGTGGAAGTGGCCTTTGCTTGGTAGCACCGAAATCAGAATAATCTTGTTTGTTTTTCAAGAGGCATTACGTTCTCTCCCAGGCGCACATCTTCAGGGGGGGATTGAGGTGTTCTTAACGGACAGTGTTATGGGTTGAACTGCATTCCCCCCAAACACAGGTTGGAATTCTAACCCCCTAGGCGTGCAGATGGGCCTCGGTGGCACTGAGCGTTAGATGCAAGGCCAGTAGTTCTAACCCACCGACCACGCCTCAGGAGAAGGAGAGGCTGCCGGCTTCCGTAGTGATGTGCCGTCTCAGAACCCTGCGTGTTGAGTCTGAGTCAGGATCAGCTTGGTGACAGCGGGTTCGGTGTCACCGTGGGTTCAGTGTGGGGGTGCTAACGTCAGTGTCTGGTTCAAAAGAGAAAGATGAAGCGGCTCACTTCCATAAAGAACTCAGCCTGGCAAACCCCGTGGGGCTGTTCTGCTCTGCCGTGCACGGTCGCTTGTGACGGCCGGCAGTGGCTTGGGTTTGGTTTTATACATGCAGATAGAATCCCATTTGGAAGCAGGGTTTTCCCGGTGACCTTAATGAGGTGACAACAGTGCTGGGCATCTCCCAGTCATTATATCCTTGGAATTTGAAGGGCAGATCAGGCCCAGAAGTAAGCAGGTGTGGGGGGAAACAGGTGCCATGTGAAGGTCACCGGGAATGGCCTCGACCTTAACAGAGCCAGGGCCCTGACTCAGAGTGCCGGGCCGCCTCCTCTTCATCAAAGACCCAAAGACCTGGTGGGTCACCTGCTCCTGGGGCTGCTAACTACAGGGTCAGCTGTTCGAGCCCACCTGCCACTCTGCAGGAGAAAGGTGAAGCTGTCTGCGCCCATCAAGACGGATGTCTCAGACACACCCCAGGGCAGTTCTACCTGCCCGTCGACAGCAGCGAGTTTGTATTGAGAGCAGGTGATACCGGCACACCTGGCTGTGAGGCAGGGAATCACACCTCATGGACAGGGTGTCATTGTACAAATGGAAGGTGCATGGCCACCGTTCATCCAGCAGTGTGGGCTCACCGCGTGTCATCTCATGGCATTTCAGACTATCTCTTCATGCCGCCACACGCTCCACGGGGCCAGCTCGCTGTCAGCATCACGTCCCATGTGCTGGGGGCCACAGAATGCCAGCGAGTCCGTTGATTAAGACACTGGCTTGATTTGAGGAGGTCTGGAGTCAAGCCTGCCGTGTCCCCAGATCCCGAGGGGAGAGTGCAGGGACCGCTTCACGGAAAGGACCTGCCGGCCCATCTTGAAGGCTGGCTGCGGACTCAGGGCAGGAAATGCCCCGCCCTTGACATGACAGGCAAGAACACAGGGGATCGTCCCCCCACTTCCTCTCCTTTGAGCGTGCTTCCCCTGCAGGTGGTTTGGGGGAACCTTTCCTGTGAAGCCCGTGTGCTCTGCGAGCTCCTCAGTCTGACTGTCTCTGAGAAACAAGGACGCCGGTGACACGGTCTGACAGAGAGCGCCGCCGAGGGGGCAGCCACGTTCAAGCTCGGCCCTCAGCCCCAGGGGCCGCTCTCGCAAGGTCGTCCTCGCTGCTCCACAACCCGGGAGGGGCCCTCGCACGTCAGCCTCTTCTTAAAAAATAAAGCACCATGTTCCGTTGAGTTGGGGTTCAAGGGTGGAGAAGTACCACGCAGTGTGGACAGAAGCGGCCCACGGGCGTTCACGTCACCGAGGGGCTTTTCACAGCCACACCGTTTAGAATCTATGCTGGCCTTTTTATTTGTTCATGGAGATTTTGTTAATCAGACAGACAGACACTCCTTGGGTGTCTTACTCTCAGGCATAAAGAAATTAGATTCTGAGTTCTTGGTCCATCAGTGCTTTTGACTTACTGCGTAGCAGAAGGCTAATCACCTGGTCCCTTCCAACCCAGTTTCTTCATCCGTGGACTAGGAAGGGTAAACAAGCAAATGCGGCGGGGGTGGGGTGGGGGGGGGAGCCATATGGTCGCAGAATACACCACCAGTGGGATTGAGTTGACAGATTTCTTGAACAAATGAATTCCCGGTAACCACTATTCTGCTTTCTGCAGAAGGTTTTCAGTGTGTGTATGTGTTGTAGCAGCAGAATGATGAGGCAGCCTGCTTCTGTAAAGACTTGCCCCCGGAAACTCGACTGGGCAGTTTTACTCTGTACAGTCACTAGGAGTTGGAATCGACTTGTGGTCCTCACCTAATCTGGTGTCAATTTAAGGATGAAGAGTATAGGGGTGGAGTCTAGGCTGTCAATCTGGAGAGAGCCAATGAGACTTCTTTTTTTTTAATATCTATATTTTTATATTGGGGGGTGGGTGGGTAGAAAAGCCAGCAGCCCCTATAGTGGGCCCTATTCAGTGGCAGCTTCTTGTTCCATAGGGTTAAGGAAGACTTTGGAAAACTCCAGGTGTAGTTGCTTGGTATGTTGTGACGGGTAGAAGGGATGAAGTGAAGGGTGAGGGTGGGCCCTCGTATCCTCCATCTTGCCTCAGACTAGGTCCTGGGACCCTGGGGCTGGGAAAACACCTCTCTCAGTCCTGCTGCTTGGGATTGTTGACGGCCACGTAGTGGGAGAGGACGACATGCAAGAAGAGCGGCACACCCAGCATGTTGGCGAAGACGGTGAGCTGCACATCCGTGATCATCCTGATCAGCCCGGCTTGGCTCAGACGCTCTCAGCGCACAACTTGGCAGTAGCAATGAGACTTCTGTGGGCATGGCCTTCTCCTGAGAATTCTGGAAAATCTGGTACTTCCTCCTTGGAGGCGGAAGACACCTCTCTCTGCTGCTTCCTGGGAGACATTGCAGAAGATAAGTCACATGCATGCAACCAAACCTCGGAAGCCAGAGAAGCCACAGAGAGACCCCTGCCAGCGCTGAGATGTTCCCAATGACACTGGATCCAAAGACTTTCTACCCACTGCCTGTGATCTTCTGCATTCGGCATCATTGCATGTGTTTCGTGAGTCTGAAGAGGACTCTATAGATTGATATCGGAAGTATGGGCTAATATCTGTGGACTTGATCTGGCCTGGGCTGGGATGTTTTCTCAATGTTCAATTGCTCTTGTCTAAAGCTCTTTCTTATACAGGATTTGTTTCTCTCGTCTGCCCAGACTCACACACAGCTCACTGACCGTGGGTTGCTGTTATGATTACCGTTTAGTGGATGTGTGGCTGTCAGGAGCTGTCCAGTCAGTTCCGACTCACGATGAGCACAAGGGATGGAAACACCCCCGGTCCCGCACCGCCCTCACAATCGCTCTTATGTGTGAGCCCACAGCGCCCTGTGAGTCCTTCCCGCTGAGCCTTCCTCTTTACCAAGCACAGCGTCCTTCTCCAGGGACCGGCCTCCCCGATACAGCACACGAGAGGAAGCTCTCTCCGTCCTGGCCTCTGAGGAGCAGGCTGGCTGTACTTCTTCCGAGACAGATCGGTTTGTTCTTTTGGTGTCCACGGTGCTCTCCGTCTTCTTTGCCAGCACCATGTTCAAATGCCTCGATTTCCCCTTCAGTCTTCCTTATTCAGTGTCCAACTTTCACGTACCTAGAGGCATTGGGGGTGCCATAGCTCGGGTCAGGTGCACCTTAGTTCTCACAGTGACACCCTTGCTCTTCAACACGTTCAAGAGGTCTCGTGCGGCACATTTACCCAATGCAACATGTTGTTTGATCTCTGGTCTGCTGCTTCTGTGAGCACCGATTGTAGAGGCCAGCAAGGGAAAACCCTTAACCACGTCAATGTTTGAAAGGAACCCTGTTGCCATAGTGGAGATCTGTTGGGCTACTACCCACCGGCCAGAAGTTCAAAACCACCAGCTGCTCCTGGAGAGAAAGATGAGGCTTTCTGCTTCCATAGAGTTACAGTTTGGGAAGCCCACAGGGCAGCTCCACTCCATTCTATAGGGTGGCTATGAGTCAGAGTTGACTCAAGGGCAGTAAGTTTGCCTTTCTTAGTGGATGGACTCTATTTATTCCTCCGTTGATGCATGCATGGGTGGCTTCTACCTTTTGGCTAGTTTGAACACTGTTGTTATGGACAATGGTGTATGAGTATCTGTTTACCTTCTGGCTTTTATTTTGGGGGGTCTGTATCTAGGCGTGTTATTGCTGGATCATCAGTAACAATGTTTAATGCTTTCCACGGTGGCTGCACCATTTTTAATTCCCATCAGCAGTGGTTGATGGCTCCAGTTTCTCTACATCCTTGCCAACGTTTGTGATTTTTCTTTTTAAATATATAAATTGCCACCCTAGTTGATGTGCTTTGGGAGGAAGACGAGGCTGTGAGCTCCCATAAAGAAGTGCAGCCTCAGAAGCCCACCGACGCAGTTCTGCTCTGCCCATGGGGTCTCTAGAGCTGGGCTGGCCGGCTGGCAGTGGGTTTGAGATCAGGAGTGGGCGTGAGGTGGCCTATCATTGTAGTTTTGACTTACCTTTCCCTAATAGCTAAGGATGTTGACATAGTTTCACATATTTATTTGGCATGCACATGTCTTCTTTGGGGAAATATCTATTCAAGTCCTTTGCTTACTTTCTAAATTGAGTTATTTATCTTTTTGTTGTTGACCTATATGACTTCTTTATATACTCCGGATACTCATCCCTTATCATGCTGTATGATTTGCAAATACTTTCTCCCCTTCTGCAGCTTGTCTTTTCACTCGTCTGTGTCCTTTGTGCACAAAAATCTTTTGAATTTTCATAAAGCTGAGTGTATTTATTTATTTACTTTGCCTGTGTATTTACCGTTAAACCTAAAAGTCCTTGAATGCCCATGTTGCAGAGGCCGGAGGAAGCAGGGAATAGCACATTGTACTGCTCAGGGGCTACAGGGTGGGGTTCTAATCACTTCTTTCTACTTCTGCTTTTTGGGGGTGTTGTATGTTTGTCGCTGTGTGTAAGTGCTCTGAAAAGCACTAACCCGAGGGAGCCCCCACCACCCTCTTGTTTAGGAATCCCCCTAATCGCCTTTCATTTTCACTCTCCAGTGTTGTGAGGGGGACACCCACTACCGTCTGTAGTAGAACCCACCACCCAAGTCTCCTTCCTTCTTTCCGGGAGTCTTCGTTGATTGGTGAACTTGGACCTGTGTGGAAAGAACGTGACCTAGAGACTAGAGTGTTTGCGAGCTTACTGCCTTGGTTCTTGAGTCTCTTCTCTGCCCACCAGCCCTTGGGCCCCATCATATTTTCCTGGTTGGAAATAAAACCCTCATATGAAGTGAAACCTACCAAGAAACCTGCCGAGGGAGCCCTTGGATAGCTAAGGGACTGGGCATCGGTGAGGACACGCAACCATTATTTACTGGGAACCCAGGGCGTGTGGGTTCATGTGTGGAAGAAAACCATGCACCTTACACTCGGGTTTCTGCCCCCAAATGTGAGACTCAAGAAAGTAAGGGAGTGTTTGCTGGGCGTGCCAGGATTGCGCTTGAACACCCTTGGATTCCCTCACAGCCCATAGAAGTCTTTCCTTGAAGTCCCAGCGTGAACTGATTTCCAGCGTCGTCGGGGCTGGTCTTGAAATCGATGGTTAGCATAACCTTGACGCTGCATTCCTGGGCACTTTGCAGGCACGAGGCAGTGCCAAGTTAACAAACGATTCAGGAGGAAAAGGACGAGAAAGCAGAGCTGGGATGCCGTTAAAGCCCGGGCCCCGTTCACCACCCGAGCATTTGTTCCACTAATAATGCTGCTGCTGCAGAGAAAGAGCCAGGTTCCCCTCAAACTTAGCTCTTGTTAGATGCCGCCCTGCAGACTCAGGCCCTGTCACGTATGTCATCGCGAGACCTGGGTTTCTGAGATTGTGGACGCAAAGCCGACTCTTTACCAAAGAAGGAGCCAGGTTCCTGGGTTTGGATTTCCCCATGAGTGCACACCTCTGGTCCCACCCCACCCATCTTTTAGATGTCTCTTCCTCACAGGCCCTTCTCAGAGCAATCTTGTCCTTGTCCCGAGGCTGCAGGAGAGCCCTTGTGAGGCGGTCACTCGGGTGGTGCCTGTACCATGGGAGCGAGTTGCAATTGTATGTCTGCCTGCCCCTCCCACCTTGACTCTCAGGGCCACTGACTCTCCATTACCCGCCTGTGTGCTCTTGTCATAGATATTGTGGTGATGCACACCTGGACAAAGACGGAGAGATGTTCCAAGGCATTCACACATCCATGGACCAAGAAGAAAATAAATAATTGACAAAAATCACGAAAAATACTTTTTTTAAAGGTCAACCTACGACAAAACCTGGAATTGCACCGGGCAGAGCGGAGCTTTCGTAGTGCGTGTTTTCCCCACGAGACAGGCATCCAGCAACTGGCTGTGAGTTAGTGCACCCAGTGATGTCGCCTGTGAAGGTGCTCTCTGGTCACAGTGAATTTTTTCGTAAAATCTGTTTTACTTGAACCTTGTTTTTGTGATGGGCGATTTAAGAGAAGAGCGTGCGGCTGTGAGATTTTGTTTCCTGTTCCGGGGAAGAATGCCACAGACACTGTTGTGATGTTGAACACAACTTACAAGGACAGCTTTATGGGAAAAGCTCAAGTGTGCGTGTGCTTTTCTCATTTCAAAAAAAGGTGTGATGTCGATTGATGACGAACCTCATTCTGGAAGCCCGTCAACTTCCCGAAAGGACAAACATGTCCACTCATAGTTTATTTGGAGTTTGTTCCACCAGGTCAGACAGTCAATCAAGCTTTCTATTTAGAGGTTCTGAAAAGATAGCATAGCAGTTTGCCGCAAGAAAAGCCTGATTTGTGGCAGACGTGGGACTGGTTTTGCCACCACGACAGTGCACCCGCTCACACAGCCATCTCAGTGCACCAGTTTTTCAAAAAACAACCTGCCTCTCTTGCCCCACGTACCTGACTCACCTAACCTCGCTCCGTGTGACTTTTTTGTTTCCTCAAATGCAGAGGGACATGAAAGGACAGCGATTTGATGACCTAGAAGAAGTGAAGAAAACAATGAGGGCGGTGCTGTCAGCCATCCCAACAGATGAGTTTGAACAATGTTTCCAAGACCCCCTGAGAGGAACAAACAACAGAAACAAAGGTGAAGGGAGACAGCAGTTGGTATAAGATATAATAATAATTTATAATTTATCAAGGGTTCATAATGGTGGGAGGGCGGGGGAAGAAGGGAAAAACAAGGAGCTGATGCCAAGAGTTCAACTAGAAAGTAAATGTTTAGAAATTGATGATGGCAGCCTATGTACAAATATTCTTGTTACAATTAATGTATGGATTGTTATAAGAACTGTAGGAGCCCCCAGATTCAGGGTACTAGGGTCTGGTTCTGACCTCCCCCTGTGATTTTCACCCACAAAGCCACTTGAGAACTCGGTGAAATGTTCTCAGCTCACCATGTCTGTCCACAGGCTCTGACAACCCCTTGCCAGTTCCAGCAAGATGGTGTCCGCCATCCCTTCCTGTGCCCAAAATACCAGACCTGCAGCGAGCAGTAATTTCCCCAGGTTGCCATCTAAAAGTGGTCATAATCCCAGGCTCATAGAGAGCCTCCGAGAGCTAGTCACTAAACCTCACAGCGGAGCTCCCCTCTCTGCTGTCCCCCCTGCTCCAGCTGTCCAGGTACAGAGTGACTACATCGGCCATCCCTTTTCCCCCTCTCCCCGCTCCATGCCTGCCGGGGC